GAGCCGAGGCGTCGGCAGGCAGGGCTGGGGCCGTGTTGGGTCAGGGCAGCCGGCGGTGCTTTTAAAAAGCCTCCGGCTTTGGGGTTGGTTCTTGCTGATGCAAGGGAAGCCCCTGTCGCTCCTGCCCCAGGTAGGGGTTGGGCCGGCGTCGCAGCAGGTCTTTGGAAATCCCTGTGGAAAATGAACTCTCGTTATTCCAGAGAGTGACCCAGAGTAGGAAGTTTGTATGTTAAACTATGGTTTCAGTTAACAGTATGAGATAGAGATGCGCTAGTTTTTCACAAAATGATTGTTAAATGTTGACGCTGAGCTGTTAGTACAAATACTTTGGAAGCCACGGATCTAGAGGAGAGAGCCCTTTAGTACAGGGGGGCTGCCGTGAAATTGGAAAAGGCCGTAGGAGAACCGTGTGTTGAACAGGAGAGATGCTCACAGCCCCCTCGCCCCTGGATAGTAAAGCACACGTGCAGAGGTGGCTTCAAAAACACAAGTGGGTTGCTTCCCTTTGGGGCCGCTTTGGTTTCCTCCTGCCTGCGGGACGTTGCTGGGCCGGTGTCGGCTCGCGGCGCTGCCCGTCCAGGAGAGGAGCGCGGGGAAGCTCCATGAATCGCCGCTCAGTGGGAATGAGTTAATCCTTCCCAACAGGTCGCGTGTGAATTAGGCAGGTTGGATTTATCGCCTTCAAATAGTAGCCACAGCGTAGCTGTGAAATGAGGAGGTTGCTCACGGCGAGATGCCCTGCAATAATTTCCTGCTGTGATCTGCCTGTGGGGATATCTGATGAATCCAGCAAGGAGAGCTCTCTCATAGACTCATGTAACGTTAGCTATGAATTGAACGTGAGCTCATACTGTGAATGGACTATAGTTCACGCTGCAGAAAGCTGCGCTGCACCGAGGGCCTGTGCTTCTCTCTCATTTCCCAGAGTGGCTCCTCTGAAGTCAGCTCCCGGAGTTAGGACTGCGTCTTCCAGAAAACACACCTTGCCACATCTTTGATGCTGTAGACCGGTGTCAGGTCAGACCTGTGGGTTGCACCCGTAGGCATGTCTTGGACTAGCAGATCCTCTTGCACATAAACATGAACCTCGACAGCTCTGTACCAAGAGCTAAATAAATGCGTTTTCTTGCAAATATACTGAATTGTGACATAAACGGGATTATTTTTGCATTTTTTGCAGAATTCTGTGTTCTCTCCCAGCCCTGTTCTCCCCAGCTGCCCTCCAAGATTGTGTCCTTTATCCTTTGGCGAAGGAGTTGAGTTTGACCCTTTACCACCAAAGGAAATAAGGTAAATATTGCGTTAGTCATCTAGTTCTGAAGGAGTTAGCATGTAGAGGAGTAGTTAGGCCTTATCAGTGCCTGTGAATCACATCAATTTATTTGCAAAGCTATTGTTCCACGCAGCTGTACATTCCTGGACCTGGACATTTGTACAGGCTGAAGGAGTGTTCAGCCTCTTTTAATCCCATATGGTTTTTTTCCAGGAAGACTTTCCTGTATTTTGCTCTCCTGCTTTTACTTCATTGCACTGCTCCAAAATGTTGCCTTTCAACTGATGAACCAGAAGGCAGTCGTGAGGGAAGATCTTCAAAGCAGCCATCTTTCTAGGACTGTTTTATTAGGGGAAAGGAATTTTGCTCTCCTAACCTCATGGGTTTGTAATAAGCACTTTCTATCTTACCATCTGTGGCTGGTTGTGTGAACTAAAAGAAACGTTAATATTAAGAGAGTGCATAATTATTTTTTTTTTAATGCGCTGCATCACTTCGCAGCCTGTGAATTATTCCTTTGAACATCATGATTTGCAGTAATGAGAAATGAAGGCTCCCAGCTGATTATTGTGCAAGCAGAGGCAGACTGATACAATCAGATGGAAGCCTAATGCAGGGGAGGGTAGAAAGCGTTGGTTGCCCTGGTCTGGGGAAGGAGCTCACCCCGGCTGGAACTGAAGGCAGTTAGCACCGTGAAAAAGCTAACGCAGAGTTGTTGCAGTGTGAAGGAGATGAAAACTTTCTTTTGTAATCCAGACAGAGGATTTTCTTGCCAGCAGAGTTTGATGTGCAAATTGTAGTGTTTTCCTGCCAGTTGAATCTTCAGAGAGTGCCCCATGCCGGGAGCGATAGCAGAGAGCTCCCGTGTGACTCTTGGCAGAGGAGAACTGAGAAAATAACGTGTGCTTCCATGGACTTGGCACTCCGAGGAATTAGGATGCTTATGTGCAAGGCCTAAATGTGGATCTAGGCTTCTGGGTTTAGGCACTGAAGTTTGGAGGAGGTTCTTAGCTTCATAGAGCTCAGGCTTAAAACGATGGACACGAGGATTGAGAAGATGTTCGGTAGTGCTGGCAGCTGGACAAAACAGTGACAGAGCCGGGCGTGCTGCTAACGTAAGGCTTTTTCCTTAAATGGGGGAGTGAGACACCAGCAGGCAGTGTTTGCGTTGTGTGGCTGTTCCTGTGTTGAGGTGGCAGGTGCAGGGCTGAGGAGCCACCCCGGTACCCCACGGCTCTGTTCTCCAGAAAATGCAGCCTGCTACTCCGGAGCAGAGCTCACGCACATGTCTCTTGTATTTCAGGTACACATCCTCGGTTAAATACGACTCAGAGAAGCACTTCATTGATGACATCTATATGCCAGTGGGCTTAAGCATTTCTTCTTGCAGTCAGACGGTCATCTGTGTCCCAAACTGCACGTGGCGCAATTACAAAGCAGAGGTCCACTTGGAGCCCCGCAACAAGCCCCAGCGTTTCACCAGCACCACCATCGTCTACCCGAAGCACGCCAAGACTGTGTACACCACCACGCTGGATTACAACTGTCGGAAGACCATGCGGCGGTTCCTCTCCAGCATAGAGCTGGAAACTTCGGAGTACCTTGGGAACGACTGTGTCCTGGATGGTTGCTGACTGACGGCTGTCCCTCTTGCTCTGATCCATCCCAGTCCCATCTAACGTACTGTGCTAACTCCACTAGCTAAAGCGGGTACAGACCCTCTTTCTCAGCTCTTAATTCCTGCTTTAAGCATCAGAATGGCCTGAACGCAGTTTTCTGTGGGAACATAACTTAGTAAAGAACTTGTTTCTTCGCCTTTAAAGTTGTGAGTTCCCTCCCCTTCCCCTCAGTGCAGTAATCAGATGAAAATAAGGGGAAGTATTTTCCCCGAGAAAAAATTGACAGGTAAGAAAGAATGCTGAATAGTGCCTGGTAGGTGGAAATCCATTTGATGCTTTGTGGTGATATGCAAAAATAAGGGCGGTTCACGCTCTTGCAGAGAATCTACCAGGTCATTTGGTTACAGATAGCCAGAGCTGTCATTCATTTCAGTTTAGATCGTGAGACTGTTTTGTCTAGAAGAACCATCTGGAAATGGCTGGACAAAGCTAACAGAAAAATCTGGAATTCTGCATTTAACAGATATAAAAATGTTATCCTATGGCATTCATGTCCAGTTTGAAGGTGTGAGTTGGAAAGAAGAGGAATTCTGAGTAGAGCAGGAGATAAGCTGCTTTTGCAGCTCCAGGCAGCAGAGAAAGGATCAGGTAATTCAAATTCTTTAGGTGAATGGTGCGATGTATCTTCTGTAGTTACGACTTCTACAGCGCTATAGTCTGTGTAACACGCTAGCATTTGTGTACTACGTGTAGCGGGACTTGTAATGAAGAATATCAGACCAAATATTATCCCTGTATTGTTGGAAAGTCAGGTCTTGACAGTGTGGTGGTGGAAAAACACCAGTGCCTAGTTTTTACTGACGTCGTTCTGTCTGCACTTAAGGGAGTTGTTACTAGGAAAGTTTCAGAAGATGTGCCGTGTATACAGGGACCTAGAGCGGAGAAGGAGATGCTGGGGTCGGGCGTAAGACGCTGTCGTGGTGGGGGTTGTGGAGAGGTAGATGGTAGCAAAGGACAGGCAAATTTTTACTGCATAGCAAAATCCACAGCTGTAGCTCTGCTTCCCCGTTGAGCTTCTCATTGCAAAGGTCCGTGTCCTCTCTGGACTTGAATATTCAGGATGTCACTGGGATGGGGTAGCATTTGCCTGTCTGTAGGCTGCTGAATAACCCCTCCAGTCCCAAGTGCATGATGAGTTTGGGGACCAAAGGGAATAACTTCAGGTGCTGTGAAAGGCCATCTGGATGTTACGTGCATTAGTTTATCATGCGCTTTGATGAAAATAAGACAAAGAGGTTTCTTACTTTACCCAGATTTTTGGGGTTTTTTTTTCTATACTGACAATGTAGTGTGGAGAGCATCCGCTTTTGGGAGTGTGGCTTATGTTGGTGGCTAGCGTGGCGTAGCAGCTCAGAAACACTTGGTAGACTTGACTTAGCTGGACACGGCTTTTCCAAAACTCCTCTGAGGTGTGGGTCACCTTCTGGTGCAGCATCAGCCCTGGACCTGCTTTTAAAGAGGACTTCACTAGTGCGTCGCCTCAAGGGTGAATGTTGTCAGTGGTGAATTAGAAACTCGGGAGCCCGTTCTTGAGCTGTACTTAACGCGTGTTTGTGCAAGTGTGATGAATGGTGTGGAAGTGTACTCGAGTGTGAACTGAAATGATTTGGGAGACTAAAAATGCAGCAGGACGGAAAGCTTGAGTCTGTGTGGTTTGGGTTTTTTGTTGTTTTGGTTTGGTTTTTTACTTATTTATTAGCTCAGAACAGAATGTCCTTAATCTTTGGTACTGGCCTCAGAAAACCAGATCCTAAAACCAGGGTGACAGAGGATGCCAAAGTCGGGTGGGCATTGCTCCAGAGTTGTTAAGAGCAGCACATTCTTCTCAATAAACGTGTTGGTTTCAGACTACAGTATTTAGGAGAAGTATCTTAAATACATGTTGCAAATCTCCCCTAAACATTGCCCCAAGATATACTTGTCGCGAAACAGAAGGCACAACGCAGCCCCTAAGTGCGTGGGGTTTCAAATGGACAGAACTCTTCTTTGGGGAAGCTATTGCATCGTGGCTCGCTTCGCAGTTTCGTGTACCTTGCTCCTGAAACATCTGGTGCTGGCCGCTGTTGGACACAGGACGCTGCAAGAACACGGACCCTGGATTGCTCCGACAACGCTCTAAAAAGAATTCGTTTGCAGGAGATCTGAGAGAAGATTATTTTAAGTTGTAATCGTTAATCGTCCCTAGTTAAATTAGCAATTAAATGACCTTTACACTATGGTTTTAGGATAAAGCACCTGATTTTTATAAAGCAAACAAACTTAATTATGTACCTCTTAAAAATATTTTAATTGGTAGAGATACCTTTTAAATTATTTATGTTCCAACATTTGCAAAGCTCTGATTAGTTCTGTGCAAGTGTTCTGATGTCTGTGACGTTTCCCACCCCCCCTTTCTAATTTTCAGTTTGTCTTTTACTTTATTGGTAATAAATGATCTGAAAACCATCATATAGGGAAGTCTCTTTATTTTTCATTCGAAGCTTTTCAGTGTTTATTGTGGTATTTACTTAGTAATAAATACATAATATATCCTGCCAATCCCAGCTTGTTTCTCTTGTATCATGTGTTGCTGCTGTTTACGTATTCTAGGAAGGCGTTTCCTATATAAAACTGTGTATTTAAAAGAACCCAACACCAAATGTTGTGGGTTTATCAGTTTAGTAAGACACTTCAAAAAGTGCCTTGAAGACAGGTGAAAATCCTCTCCAGTATGTATTTGAGTCTTTCATCTGGTATAGTTTTATTTTTAAAGAGTTTCTGGTATGGATTTCAGCATATCCTGCAAGTGAAGCACTTACCCTTTTCAAGTATAACAAGTATTTAACCAGACAGGAGTTTCTTTTTAATTTTGGTTAAAAATGTAGATGCTCAAATGCTACTTCGGTAAATACAGCATAAAAATAAGACTAGAATGTGTTATGCATTAACAAAATAGATGGTTACAACTATTGTTTTGAGAGAAATGCTGTAGTGTTTTTCTGGATACTTAATCTGTTCTTTAAACTTCTGAATTTGCAGGCTTGCTGATTTTGTTAGTATCTCTGGCAGAGTAGAAATGCATGCAATTGAACATCAGTTAATTAATTCATAATGGGATTTTTTTCTTACTCTTAATTGTTCATCTAGTTATCTGCTTGCAAAAGCTCTAGATTTGCGTGTAATGACATTATTGGAATCTAGGGAGCTTTGAAGCTGTTCTAAAGCATGCCACTGCTCCTGCGGAAGTCTGTGCAAGCATTTGAGTATCATGCACTGTTTAAAGTATTAAAGAGGAGAAAAGCCATATGTAAACACCAATTGCCATATAAAAGGCAGTCCATTTGAGGAGCCATTAAGAAAAAACTTTAAAAATCAGAACAGTATCTTTCAGGAGGGTTTCAGGAAAAACTTTCTCTCCTTTCAGATGTGCCATCTAACTTCCAAATACTTCCTTTATTGTGGCCCGGGCTGTTTTCCTTTAATATTGTAGTAACACTCCGTATGAAAGATGTTCCTTTACTATGAGAATTTGAAGTAGGGGAGTACAAGGCAGCCTACTGCTTGACATGATTTTTAATTCATATTGGCCAAATGGGCTTCTAGTAGTACATACCATGACAAGGATAACTCCATTGTTATAGATGTGCTCTATTTCCCTTGTGTGTATGCTGTGCTTCTCCAGAATGTCAAATCTGAGGGTCTGATACAATGAATTTTTATAACCAAATAAAAGACTGTACCTAACAATTAGATCACAAGCCAGGAGATGAGGGCTGGATTCCAATCCTGGATTTTGCAGCTCGCTTAGTTTCAAGTACTAGGTAAGTTTGTGTGCCTGCAAATCATTTTAGCCTCCAGACAAGGTATCCGGTCGTTCAGCTGCCCACACTCAGTTTCCCCATCTGCCACAAGGGCTGTGCTTGCTGGTTTCGGGACCAGCAATTCATGACGTGAATACCTGAAAAGCTCAGGTGTAATGCAGTGAGTATTATTTTGAAATAAACTAATAGCTATAACTAGGGATACTCCAGGACGAATTGGCAGTATGGAAAGGAGCACTTTTAATTGTTGTAGTCCGAGTTGCATCCATATTTTAAGTAACAGGTTGGTTTGTTTTTAAAATATAAATGTCCCGTTCTCCACACAGATATAAGACAGTGAGTAATCAGTACTAAGCTACAGAACTTGTTGAGAGATTTTGGGTGACACCACTGGTTGCAGCTCGGAGACTGTGCTAGCTTGTTCAGCATTCAGGACCAGTTCACGCTTGCTCCTCTGGAAAATGACTGCAGCAATCTTCTTTACATACTGTGTGATCGCTGCTTGTGCATGATGCCCTGCGATGAAGTAATGGGGAATGCCTGACGGTTGGGCACAGCTCAGTGGGCAAATGTTGCTGGATATACGATTCGTACCGTTTCCTTCTGTTCACCTTATAGATACGCAGCCTTTCTTCCTCTGCTACAGGGTCTTCAAGAATCCCGTCCCATCGAAGGCTTTCGTGAAGCTGAGCAGAAAGACCTTGATCAGTTTGACTAGAGTCCGAAGTGGTGGAAGCTGATACTACAACCTTGCTTATTTCCGCATCCTTCTGATTCTCTTCTGCGTTATTTTGGGCTGAGTCAGGGTTCCTCCCAGGACTTGGGATTTCAAGCGATGGAGGGGAGTGGGCCTGCTGCTTTCTGGTTTTGCGGTGGTGCTTATCTGTTAAAATGATAAACGCTGTTAGTGAAAATGCATGCATTGCCTCTGAGGCTTTCCTGCTTATTGCATAAGGAGGATGATGAGACAAGTGCTTGCTGTGCCTTTACGTGCCCATTAATAAGAAACCAAATCTATAAGAAAATATTAATGGCCTAAAAATCTTATTTTTAAGTGGGAAAAATATATGTATCTGATTGGCTAACGTAACGATTCTCACACCTGTAAAATGCATTTATTGAGGCTGTTAATGCATTAATAGCATTTCTATACTGGCATCAAGTTCACTGTGCTTGCCTAACTCAATTTAGGCAGGAAATAAATTCTTAATTGTTGGGGATTTTTTTTAGGCTGTTATCCATTAATACAGCAAGCAATGTGATTATTTTTTTTCTTATAGTACAACTTCTGGAAACTTTCAGGCACCTTTTGTACTAAGATATTGGAAGTGAACGGCTATTCCTTTACGTGGAAAATTTTTTGAAATTAACCTCTCCTTTCTGTAGCTATAACAGCAACTCAACCCCACTGATGAGAAGTTAGATCAGTGCTGTGACTCACGCCCATGGAACGGCAAATACTTAAACAACTGTACTGTAGCTCACCAAAAAGAAAACCACTAAATATTTACAACATCCCAAATCTTAGGCAGTTTATGAAATTTCCTACTTCTTGACAGATGTCTTATGCCTCCTACTGCTTATACTGTGTAGTTACACGTACCCAATCTTTTCTTGGATAGATTTGTAGCTATATATGAAAGTACACGTAAAGAGGCTACAGGTTCAGTGAAAGGTTTTGAAGTGCCATAGATGATTTCCTAGGGAAGGTTGTTTTTTCTCTCCACAGCAGTTGTCCTGCAGGATGGAGAGAGAGCTGAGCGCCACATCTTCTGGCCAATGCGGACAGGTGAATCCGAGCTGCCTTCCTGCTGGTACACACACTCCGGCTGCGCGTCCCTTCGTGAGTGTGCAGCGTCAACTGCACAAACGTGTGATGTTGAGCAGTGGTCACATACCAGCCTGACACACACACGGCTTCGCCCGATGACCCTTTCCCTCCCCAGGCCTGCCCGGACCCTGCGTGGGGCATTTTGGGGACAGCTGTGGGGAGCGCGGCGGCTTCGCGGGGGACAGCGGCGTTTGCCCACGCCTGCTGCGGGCAGCCAGCCCAGCTCACCTGCCCGTACAGCGGTGGTGGCGGCACTCCTGCGCGGCACCTGCTGCTGCTGCTTCTTTCTCCGTGGTGGCTTCGTGCCGGGGGCCTGCGGTGGAGGGGGGCACGGGCAGCCCCTCGCC